AGCTCGCAACCCAGCACAAACCACCACAAGGCGTATTTTTGCCCCACTGGGCGCTTTTACACTAGAGCACACTGAAGGAACAGCCTCTCTCCACGGTCCAATTTTCTCATCGTTCTAGGATATAAAAGATTGAACAATGTATTCCCACTGGATATCCTGAAGGAGGAAACTGCCCTGAGTGAACGGCCTCAGTGCCCCCACTGCCCCTCATCTTCACAGAAAGGGGCCACGCTTTCTCTCCAGTCGGTTTAACCCACACGCTCCACCCTACCTTGCAAAATTAACATGGAAGGATGGGGCCATCACCCCCCTAGACGAAGGAGGGGAGCTCCAGGGACAAGCAGGAGACAATGGCCAAAGTTTCAGTGGAAAAAGTGCTCAACCCCCAGAACCAGCAGCTGCTGCCACGGCTTGAGGGAGGGAGGTGACCGAGAGGGACAGTGGTGTCGTGCGTACTTCCATTCCAGCTCAGCCCCACAAGCGTTATGTGACTGACAATGAGTCCTTGGAATCCAACAAATGGCAACACACAGAGAAAACTAAGAGTTGGTTCAGCATCTCCACTCCCCATCCATAAGGGGTGAGACAGAAGAGGAGGGTTTTTTGGTTTTATGGCAAAGGATCCTTCTTCCGGGAGCTATTTTGGCTCGTGACGTTTGTGGGAAGCGCCCCCCACACCGCTCACCACGCAACGTGTGCGCAAAGGGGGATGGGGGGCTGTCGCCTGCTCCTGCGTCTGAGCATATCACCACCACCCCAGGGAGGCCTCTCTACACAGGGAGCTTAAATCTAACCTCGATAAATAAAACCAAATGTTTATTTACACCAAAGAATTCCAACACTGGATCTTTCACATATGAAGGACAAAGTATATATACACAGCAAGGGGTAGCAGGGCCGTAACAAGGGTGCTTTTCCGTTGTCAATGATAATATTTGTCCACAATTACTGATCTACCATTTCAGTTTAAGTTAACGTCTGCTCGCTCCTTCCTCTCAGTGCATATTTACAAGACTGTGAGGTAACTGGTATTCTCACCACATGGCACGTGAGGGAGGGGATGGTGGGTGAAGATGTGATATCGGACTTGGCGCAGTCTGATTTTTCCAGCTTTAAGTAGCCACCAGCTTGAAACCTATATAAACAATTTAAAAACAAGATACCCAATAACAAACTAATTCCAGAGATCAAAGCCAAGCAACGGCAGGGAGAACCCTCATGTGAGAAAGGGGCTGGTTAGAGTACAGCTTACTCTACGGGAGCACCTTTCTCCGGAGGTGGCGAGGACTCCAATCGGATCAATAACTTCATTTTTTAAGACTAAAATTACATGCAAGGGGGTGAGTTGGCATTCTGGTTGGCTCCTAAGGAGACGTGATTCAATCCAATTAGGGTTTCAGAAAGTATCTGCACTCACTCCTTTTAAGCTTATACCACCCTCTCCACACTGGAACTGTCTCCTCAGCGTACCCCAGCTGAGTCACACACAGGACGTGGGGTTAAAGTGAGCATTACTTTAAGAATCCCCGTCCCCTGCCTCACGAAGACTTGGTTGGGTAGTCTCTGGAGAACAACACAATCCCCCAAGGTGTAGGCTTATGGAGGAATAATGGTGGGAACATGGAGAGAAGAGATTTCCAGCAGGATGCAAGAGCTTGGAAATGCTGTTGATTCATCTTTGTT